GATTAAGATCCAGAGTTATACAAATAATTCCTAATTGATAACTTAAAAAATACATTTAGGTGGTTTTGTTAAGTTGTTTAATGTGACAGAGCAATGTGTCTGACAAAATCAACATCATTGGTTTAATTGTTTGGTCACTATGGCCTCTGTAGTTTTCCCAGATTTGAAGAAAAAAGCATTGTGGGTGTTCATCTGTAATGTGCATCTAATATCCTCAAAGTGAAAAACCAAAAAGTCAAAGGAAACATTACAGTCTGATGAAAGGACCTACATGTTTATATGTCTTTAAGATTTGCAACATGAAAACCATTACATGTATGTTATAGTGTGTGATACAAAGTTTTAAACAAAACTTTCAGCTGTGTTTTTTTCTAAAAACAACACCTTCTAATTCTGTGCTGTTTAAATAAATAAGATAATATAAGTTACTTACTGTATGTGTTACAAACTAATTTCTATAAAAATCTTTTATTTTATCTGATCGATTTATCCCACAGATTTTAATGTTGTCATTATTTTAATTATTTTGAGAACTTGAGCTAATTTATTAGGAATGTCATTCATTTATCATTAACAAGTTCTAAAGATATTAAAACATTTGAAATTAAAGCTTATGAATATTTAATTTCTATATATACATTTTTAAAGGCATATTTTTAAGTAACTTTCTGTGTCTCATCTTTTTCAGATGTAAATGGAGATGCAGCACTTTCGCCAACAAACCGGACCTTCATTGAATTTTAAAGTGCTTCATATTAAACGGGAAGCAGCATCTCTCCTCTCCAAAGCAATCCATTATTGACGATTAATGTCAAACTGCATGCTTGAGCAGCTTAATGCTGCCTCACTGGGTGGAACATCACTGATGGAAGGAAAACCTCATAAGACTCAGCTCATCAAATTACACCTAAGAGAAGCATGATGCCTTCAAAAGTATCATGTTTATACATACTGACAGTGGTCTGCTGGGCCAGCGCCTTGTGGTACCTGAGCATTACACGCCCAACATCCACCTATGTGGGCCACATGGCTGTGCCTAAACGCCGGATTGTGAAACCGCCTCCTAAAAACATCACATTTTCCAACATCCGCACACGCCCCCTCAACCCTCATGCCTTTGAATTTTTAATAAATGAGCCGAAAAAGTGCGAGAGCGTCACGCCTTTTCTGGTTATACTCATCAGTACCACGCACAAGGAGTTTGACGCACGGCAGGCCATCCGGGAGACCTGGGGCGACGAGAGCACCTACAGTGACATACACATTCTCACCATCTTTCTTCTTGGCAGAAACACGGATGATGTGCTTAACCAGATGGTGGAGCAGGAGAGCCAGATCTTCCATGACATTGTAGTAGAGAACTTTATCGATTCATACCATAATCTCACACTCAAGACAATGATGGGCATGCGCTGGGTAGCGACATTCTGCCCAAAGGCGCAATACGTTATGAAAACTGACAGTGACATCTTTGTCAACATGGATAATCTTATATACAAGCTTCTGAAGCCCAGCACTAAGCCCAGAAGGAGGTACTTTACAGGATATGTGATAAATGGTGGTCCCATCAGAGATATGCGCAGTAAGTGGTACATGCCCAGAGACTTGTACCCTGAAAACAAATACCCACCGTTCTGCTCAGGTACTGGTTATGTCTTCTCAGCAGACGTAGCAGAGCTAATCTACAAGACTTCGTTGCACACAAGGCTGTTGCATCTGGAGGACGTGTATGTGGGAATGTGTTTACGTAAACTAGGCATACACCCTTATCAGAACAGTGGGTTTAATCACTGGAAAATGGCCTATAGTCTCTGTAGATACAGGCGTGTTATCACAGTTCACCAGATCCCACCGGAAGAGATGCACCGCATTTGGAATGACATGTCCAGCAAGAAGCACCTGAGATGTTAGGGATTATGAATGACAACTTCAAGTTATTCAACTGACCCTTTTCCCCAATGTATCCTGTTACATATTGTCACTTAATCATGTAAGATCTGCAGCTGCTTCTGCAACCCTCAGTTTTTTGTTTTGTTTTGTTTTTTATGGATTTAATGGGTTTTAATGAATTCACTGGTATCTCTGTTTGCTATCTACATCACTTGAAAGCTGTGTAGTCACTTATTTGCAACGGAATTTGAAACTTGGGTTCTGTTAAAGGTTTGTAAGCTATTAATATCTTTTCTGTGGGAGATGACTCTTACAGCATTGCTATTTAGTATAAATCCAGTTTGGTGGCTTCCAGAATTTTTATCTGAAAAAGGCAGTAGGATAAAAAAAAAGTCTTAAGACTTAAAACTTTTAATGACATACTTGTTTATTTACATAGAGACAGATTGGAATATTGAAATTGGATACAGACACCCACTAATGGTCATCACAATTGGAAAGGTCTAGTAACCCCTGCAGGAAACTGAGCCCAAAAGTAACACTTTGGGATGGCCAAGCCTGAATCTGATAGAGCTCAGACTTGAGGCTCATTTATAAAGATACAAATATTTAAAAAGTAGTGGAAACATGCAAAACTAGTAAGCAATCGTGAAGGTTTGATTGCTTTAATGATGTCAGATGTTATCTATATATCCGAAGGGTAAAAATAACTCAAAGTTTTAATTTAAAATAAAATGTAAATTAATTTTGTTTTTTAAAACTGATAAAATTTATATTTTTCTCAATTTATGAGAGATCCCGTTTTTATTAAATCTCATTGAGCAACTGCATAATTTTCAAGGGTTTTAAAAATTAGGCCTTCTTTGACAAATGGTTTAAACTTTAGTTAATATTTAAAACTAATAGCTTTTAACTTTACCCATATAGCAAATGGTCGAATTTTGTTATCTTGGTGTCTAAGGTCTAACACAAGCATGAGAACCTGTTGTCTAGTGTATTGCATATGGGATAAAGGTGCTTCATTGAATTGACTTCATTAGTACCCGGGCGACAAAAGTTTCTGTTTTAACATTGATCATTTTCTGTCTACTCTTTGCTTCATACTTCCTTAATGGTTTGATCATTGGGCTGTTTTTTTTTTCATCCTCTTTTCCTGTGTATTTGCGTCCTTTTTTATCAAGTCATTGCTGGCTCTGAAATTGCCTTAACCTGAACCTTAAACAAAACCTATTTTATTTAGTAGTAACAGTACTAATCTTTATAGGTTTTCTTCAGTCATACCTAAAACATTCTGTTTTAATAGAGGCTAGAACTTTATTTTTGTTTCAAAGTTAAAGATAATATACAAATAAGCTGTGTTTTGCTGGAGCTTTAGTCAGGAAGATATCTTAATTTCTATTTATCTGGGAAGAATAACCCATATTTTATTCACAACCCATCTTGACTCCAGCAGTGCATTTTTAGCAGAAGAGCTTCTATAGTTTTTTCCTCCAAACTTTGTACAAAGTTGCCTTTAAACTGTAACTCACCCTAAAAAGTATTTTCTTTGGATTTAAACAGTACAAATCATGTCTATGGGGATGCTTTTTAAGTATTACTCTGAATTTTGCACATTTCTATTTTAGATTTTTATGTTCTCCAATATTTGTCTCTAAACTCAGTGGCCAAGTGCTGACTAAGTGGTTGAATGGTAGTTATTGCAGCTGAACATACCTATTGGTTCAAACAAAATATTCCATTACCACGTATAAAGGGAACTCACTCGGCTCCATAGTAAGTCTTCCTTTCCTTTAAAGTCTAGCATCACCAGATTCAGCCATATTTGATTCAGTACCTTGAAGCAGGCGGCTTGAACTCATAAGGCTTCAGCCCACTGGGCTCTACCAACATGCCATGCTTCTTTAATGCAAAGCACAAAACTAAATACCAACCATTCTTGGAATCCAAAAGAGCTTTGCCCAGGGTTAAGTTATTGGGTTACACTATAAATTTAGCTTTTTGATGTCTGTTTGGAAACATATTTGGCCCTGGTACCCTTTGTAATGGTCTGATTACCGTAAGTTCCTTTTTTTATTGTTTGTTTCTGTCATTTTTTTTTTACCTCTAAAAAACTCTTTTATGTCTATTTTTGCCTTTTAGGTCTTTTAAACCAGTACCTTGATTTAACTTGTTATTTTATTTATTTATTTATTTTTACAGTAAATGTTCTCTGCAAGTAAAATAATTACAGAAAAGATCCTCAAGTCTCCGGGTTTCACTGTTCTGGATTTACACTAAAAAAGAACAATAGAAATTCACCTGAGCGTGCGTCGAACATTTTAACAGAACCCCTTTTCAAAAGCCCTCAACTAATTTCTAGTTCTAGGTGGTAAAGAGAAGCTTTTGCTGCTTTGTAAGAAGTTTGCCAATCAGAGGTAAGCATTAATTGCTGTGGCCTGCTCTGTAGAGACAGCTGACAGTGTCATTCAGATTTCCCTGGCATTTAAAACACCTTTCCCCTTTTCTGCAAGTGTCCTTGACCAAGAATCTCTACCAGCTCCTCAGCGGCTGACCCTTGTAGAGTGCAATCCAACAGAATGTGAGTTTGCAGAGTTCAGTAATATATTGCATTACTTATATATTAGAGCTCTAAACTATATATCTAGAAGTATGGTTTAGAAGAGCTTCAGAAGCATGAGAATGTAAGTGCAGCCCTGATGACCGTGCCTCTGAATATGCTCTCATGCTTACTCCCTTTCTCCACTTTTTGAAAGAGGATAACTATAAAGTAGATTGTTATCAATGTGCTTATTCAAATAGGAAATATCATCCAATACAATAGAAGTTATATAAAGAGTGTGGAAGACATGCTACTTTTTCATAATAAATTTCCCTGATGTTTTTGTTTACACATATTTATCATCAGATTGCCTTTTTCCCCCCGAATAAGCTGTTTGTATATTTTGGATTGAAACAGATTTCATGTATTCCTACCTTGGCGTTATCATGCCTGAGGTAATTATGGGTCTCGGCTACCAGCCTCTCATTAGAGCTGCTGTTCTTGGTTATGTGTGCTGTATATCAGCAGCTGTTTCAGCTCATCAGCCGCTCTGCTCACGAAGAAAAGCACTGCATCATGCCATGCAAGACTCTCATTATGTCTAGTTGGGATCATTACAGATTGGATGTATTGTCATGTGTATCTGGCATATCAGTGACTGCAGAATCACTGTCACTATACGAACACAATGGGTAAATCTCACCCTATTTAAGAAAATGTGGCTCCGGTGGCCAATTATTCCTTTCTTTTTTAATTTTCTCTGAGGTTTTGTAGTCTTATAAGCTAATGTGACATTTACTGTGAAAGCTTTTTTTGCCATAAGGGGATTGTTATTATATATTGTATGTTTTTATACAAAAAAATACTTGAATAATTAAAATGATATCGGTGCTTTCGCTTGTTTTCCTTCTTGTAGTTGTAATGATACAGAGATAGACAGGAAGCAAGGGTCTTATGATGAATTATATTTTAAGATTATACAAAATATTGTTTTATCTAAAGTTCTTTTTGGGGGGAGGGGATAATTAATGCAAACTCCTGTGATTGAATTATAATGTCAATTTTCACCCTAAAACGCATTCATTTGGTCCTCATCCCCCAGATATGTTTAACTTCCTCATAGCTTTTGTTCATGTCAATGCTTTTTGTTCTTGGTGCTCCTTTTAATGAAGTCCTGCACAAAATTTAATGTCTTATTCTCACCATCTATTTTGACAAAAGCTCAACCATCTAATGTTGGTTTTTCTACACCAATGACTAATCAGGATTGGGATCCTTTGCAAATGAATAACAAACACTTCATTTTATATCAACCACTAATGACAGCATAAGTTAAAAAGCCCTCAAAAATCTTACCATGTCATTGTTAACACAATTATATTGCACATTTATCCAGAAATAGCAGTATGATAGTCGCATACTAAAAGGTTTACATCACTTCTCCAACAGTGAAATTTGGACTTCCTCTCGCTGTGGTGCCAATGTACAAACTACACTCTTGTTCTCTGCATTCCTCT